GGTAAGCAACCACCTAACACAAGCCTACCCTCCTGGGCAAACAGACATCAAAAGGGAAAAAGCAGGCTACAGCTTTAAAAGGAAAGCCTCCCCCTTCAGGGCAGGCAAACAAGCACCAGGGCAGCCCTCACCTCTCCCTGTTCCTGCCCTGATTCCAGGTCCCTCAGGTAGCTTCCTCCCCTCCTGAGACCCCTCTTCAAGCTCTCAGCTCCTTAGTTGCAGTCCCAAGTGTGGCAGGAATCACAGCATTAGCTCAGCCATAGCCAGCTTACTGCGGTGCTCTTCCCCTTTGGCTTGCAGAGCCAGACCGGCTGTCTGCTCTCAGGCATTGTCTTTATGTATCTCTTCTGCCCTGCCCCTTCTGGTCCAGTGACCAGGACACACAGGTGTTCCCCTTCTGGGTCTGCTTTTTCTGCTAGGGCTTCACTCCGTTGCCTGCAGCCCTTTGCTTCTGAGCTGCCTAGATGCCTGCCCTGGCATAATTTACTGCTCTTCAGCTCTTCCTAGGCTAACCACTTCTCCTAGGAATAGCCTCTTCTGTGTGGCTACTATTCTGCTTGTTTTCTGGCAGCCAGCTCCCTAGTAGTTAGCCTGCTTTCAAGATGCCAGCCTTATGCAGCCAGCTCAGCCTGCTCCAGTTTCCTCTTAAAGTAACAGGAGCCCTCTGGCTCCCTGTTACAGTGAGCTTAAGGTCTATATTTCTTGTTCAAATAAATGCTAACAGCTATTAAACAACAGTTGATGTCATTCTTGGTCTTTCCCAGTTGCATCAGACAACTGTAGAAAATTAGTACAAACTATCTAAAAAACCCCAATGTGTAAGCCTGTAGCCTGGAGTCCTCCTTGGTCAAAATATCCCCAGTATAGACTGCTGTTCTGTGAAACAGATATCTTGTTTAACCCCTGCTCTGAATCAGGCAGAAAGGAGATTTCAACCTAGATGAGCGTTAGAAAGGGATGGATAAAGAGGAGAAGGAGGGAGACGCACTCCCACCCATCTTTTCACTAATTCGGAGAATCTGAGATGTAAGTATCTGCAGGTAGATGTATGGGATGGGCCATCAGGAACGCATGGAGTCATTCACTTAAGGAAGGAAAACTTTAATAAACAGAAGAGAAACCTCAATGACTGGAAAGTAACTTTCAAAAGCTGTCACCAAGAAGTATGGCTCAATGCACCAGAAGGAAGTGGGGGGAGACTGTTTATAAAATGACAGGGGATGAAAATGAGGGGCTGTGTTTGTGTTAAAAGCCTGGTGGGAGCCTTGTGTGACACAGATATTCCTCCAGCAGTGTCTCCACATCATGGTGAGAAATCAGCTGGCAATCCTGTAGGCCCTCAATTCATCTGCAAAGGGTCTTACCACTACAGAGGCTGCTCTGAAGTGACCCAAGAAGCTGAGCTGTAGCAGAGAAGGCAACCACAATGGGGACCTAGGAGTAGTGGCAGCAAGTACTGCTTGGGCTGTAGCAGCTTAGAACAGAGCAGCAGTCTGTTGAGGATCACAGACTCTGGTGAGGGCCTCCTTTGTACCAGAATAGCAGTGGTTTCACTGGGATTAGGCAGCTGTGGAAGGAGGGCTGGGTCAGAATAGTTGTCAAAGGAGCTTGAGAATAGCATCAGATACTGTAAATTATTCAGGCTATCCTAAATTTTTATGTTAGAGGGGAAGGGAAAACACAGGGATGACCTAATTAGCCTCTGGGACTCAGTGGGCTTATCTACATGAGACGCTTTACTGCACATTAGACTAATCTAATGCACAATAAAGCATCACTGCCTACACGTGCACTGGACTTAACTGTGCATTAAATTATTCTAAAGCACTGTTTACTACTACCAACACATGCAGGTACTAGATAAACAGTGCATTAGGTAATGTGCAGTAGCACACATGTAGAATCTGACCGGGAACAATTTCACTCCTGGTCAGCCCAAGCAGCAGGGAGCCACTGGCATCTGCGGGAGCCTGGAGTTCCTCCTGGCTGCTACACAGAAGCAGAGTAGGGCAGGAGCAGCCCTGGACCGGGCTGCTCCCATTGGGTGCAAATCTGCTCCCAATAAGGTAAACGTGTAGACACGTTCCCGGCTGTATCTTACTGTATCTTATTTTACTGCACAGTAACCTTACTGCTCATTAATTGCACATGTAGATGCACCTACTATTTGCAAATGGGGATATTTTTCTCTTCAGTGGTATAGTTTAATTTTCCCAGGTTTCTGGGTAGAGGCTAAAGCCAGTATTATTTGATTTGTCCTATATTACTGCCTGGTAGTACCTGGAAGAAAGGATACACAATGTCATTAAAAAATGACACTCCTATCACCTTTATCTTACCTACCAAGGAAAGTACAACTGTATTCACAAAGCTTACATGTCCAATGTAGAATGTCTTATATTTCTCCAATAATAAATAACCTTAGAATCCGCAACATTAGATCCATAACATGCTCAAGCATATCATCCAGTCAGGTTATCTGTGTTTTGCATTTGCTTGTGTAATTTCCAGCAAGCTACACAATTAAGATACATGTCCAGATTTTGACAACTGTAACATTTATCTCTGTTTTAGTTGTGGTGGTGATGGGGGGGTTTATTCTTGTCATTATTTCACCTGTAAATTTTGAAGACAGGTTTGGATTCTGACTCCCCATAAATATTGTGAGTGGAACTGATAGAAGCCTTTTATTTTGGCCCATTGTTAAAACCTAAAACCTTTACCCAAAGCTGAGACTTTTTTCTTTTCTGCTTACATATGTTCATTTTGTTACCACCTTAGCCTCCCAGCCTGGACTCACCTTGTCTACCTATACTATGGTACCTAGACCATAAGCTTTCTAAGGCAGGAATTGTCGTCTTTGTTACAACACCAAACACTCTGATCCTCCACTGCAGTTACTAGACATGACTTGTAAGAAAAAATGTTACACAATGCTTTGTCAAGTTGTGAATAATTATAGAGGTGTTTTCTAAATTACCTTCCTTGCAAGTTCACATACGTGGAAACACTCTTTCTGTGATAAAACATTATTTCAGAGTTTATTATACCTATGTTACATCAACACCATATTCTACCCTTATCTCTACAAATATGGGGTACTCACTGCAGTAAAGCCAGGGAGGTTCAGCTGCTTGGTAGAGGTGGAGTCAGATCTCTGCTCACATACACCTTGCAGGTAGCACTGCTCTACAGGAAATCTGTGTTTAGCCAAGAACATAGGTATGGGCAGAGAGCACTTCAGTCACAAATTTCCTCTGGTCCAGTGGTGCCAGCCCTGCATGCTTGGGTCAGATGCATGCAGAGTCAGTGTTCAGAGCTCAGGGTTCCCCATGGGTCCAGAGATTTGGCAGCAGGGGAGCAATGCCACTACGCCCCCACTGCCAAACTTCTGGACCTATGGGAGTCCCATAAGCCAAATGACATGGAGCCACAGGTTGGATCTGGCCCAAGGGCCAGAGGCTGAGCACCCTTGCTCTGGTCCTTCCCTCCACCACAGAAGGAGGAGGGAATTAATTCATTGTGAGTTCTTTGCCATTCCATTACCTTGAGGAGAGGATTTTTCATCTCGGGTCTCTCCATCACTGAGAAACTAAGGCTAGGCACAGAAAACTAGAGTTGCTCCAGAGTGAATAATAGAGGTGGACATGGAAAGAGAGAGAGAGAAAGAGAAAGACAATGGCCTGCTCATAAATTACAGAAATGAGCATGCTCTGAGTGAACAGCTTTCCAATGACCTCCAGGGAACTATTGAAGCATGAACGTAGCAGCTAATTGATGGGCAGAGTTGATTGCCTGTTCTGTGCTTGTAGAAGCTTCAGGTTAAAAGCCAGAGAAGAAACATCAAAACAATCTGGGGAATTATGTACAACAGGGGCAAAGAATATGAGGAGGCTGAGATCTTTGGTGTTAAACCTTTACCACTCGCAGCTGTAGGATGTTCATAAGTTAATTTAAAGATCAGAGATAAAAAATCTTCACTTTTCCAGATGCTTAAATCTTTGGCTGCAGCAAACAGATGTAATTAAATATTTGGTTAATGGTGGCTATTAAGTTATAACAGAAAACAAGCCATGAACTTATATAGGAGTTTATAAAAAAGTTAACCTATTTTTAAAAGAAATTATCTTTCATTACCATCTCTTTATTTTGCAGGAGGAAGGAAAGCAGTTTATAGCAACAAGCTAGAATCAAGTTTTCAATAAAGTCTGGTTTTTTAAAATATTTCTAAAGAAAACCAAAATCTCATTGTCTCTACATGTAGCTGACTTCATTTTTGTTTCTTTTAGAAATGAATTAAATAAAGCTATAAGTCTGGCTTTGTTTGACTGGTTTCTGTTATTCTCTGCTTTGTAGTGGCACACCAGGTGTTGGTCTGTGGCACATTGACTTTCAATTGAAAGAAGTCATCATATGCCTTAACTATCCATTTATTACTGCGGCACAAGGACAGTCTCTTTTCTCTCCAGCTTCCTAAATGCACATATCTGTGGACATTTAAGCTAAACAGACAGGCAATCAACATTCTACAATAACCAATAGATTGAATATACTGCGCCATTCACAACACTACAGCTTTAACCTGCTAGCTAATTAGTTACTTTGGTTCAAAGCTAGAGGATTGAATGATACCCACCTCTCAGGGATATCATGAGAAAGAAATAGTTAACATTTATCCATTAGCTTTAAATAATAATATTAAGAGCTGTCATCTTTGTTGTTGTTGTTATTCTAAACTGAGAGCAGACCAACACTTGTGCTACTGAAGCATCCTAGAGTTTTTGGTCAGGGAAATCATAAGATACTTGGCGCTTCACAGTCAGTTGGGAGTCCTTGTGCTTTTTGGACATGCCTATTGCCTGGGTTCATAATGTTTGGTAGTTATGGTGTAACATGGCATCGGTGCATAGAAATGAAATGGGCACAAGCATTAGTAAAGCAAAATAAAAATGAGCACCCTAGAACAGAATCAATAAGAAAAGCAAGAGACTTCTGTAAAGCAGTGCATTTTATTTCCACATCTCATTCTCCAGATTAATTGAAGTCTTTGATTTATGCAATTAAAAATACCTCAGCACGAGGCAATATTTTTATTTTATTTTGCAACAGTCTCCACTGGAAAACAGGGTTGCATTAGCCAAGTCCCCATTTTAATGAAGGGGGTATTAAACACTAATGTTTAAATATAAACAAGATACAGGATAACCACATTTTTACTGTACATGCAAATGTACAAAATTGTAACAGCAGCTTTAAACAGTTAAAGACTGTTAGATTTTCCATATGTTTCCACTGATACTTCAACAATAAGCAGCAAACCCACATTTCCACTTGGCATGTGTAAAAAGTCTTGTAATATGAATGTAAGAGTATAGCTTTTTACAGCATGTTTTTAAATATGCCAAACAGGTAATAGTGTTGTATGCCAGGATCTCTAAGGCTGCAATTCGGTTAGTACATAATTCTACCTTACCAGTAGACACAGAATATTGAACGCAGTGCAAATTGATTAGAAATGAATGTGGTGTTCAGTGGCCTGCATGGGTAGCAAAACATAAAATTATTTTAATAGTACATGAACTCCAGGTCATATAAATCAACGTCCTTATGCAAGGATGCATTAAAAAACCAACCAACAAACAAAAGAAGTTCAATTACTCTAAAAAGAATAAATAAGGCAATTATTTGAAAATACACTGAGGAGGCTGAACAGAAAGTAAACATGATATTGCAGATCACAGTAAATGGCTCTTGTTACTTCAGTGCAGTTATATATTAAGTACTGCAGACAGACCTATGTGACACATCCTCAGAAAGCCCCGATTATAAACTCTGTCACAGTACGTCTGTGGTGCTGACCACCATCTCTTTCAAAACCCATTTAAAATGGCTTGTCAGTTTCTGAAATCTCCATTAAAATGACATTGTATGTGTATATGCCTGTAAACTGGCATAAATCTAAAACAAACTAACTGCTTTAGGACCCAATCCTGCAAACATTTAATGCCAAGGAAAAATTTCGCTTCTGAGAGAAGCCTCAGTGGTTTCAGTGCACCGTGGGCCTAATTCAATGACCATATGATTGTAATAGGCATTGCTGGCTGGTATGTAGTTAAAGCTGTAGGAATAATTGATTTTTCAGTTTAGCCACTCAACCAAAAATTGGTTTGGACTCATCTAAAACCAACATTTTTCAGTGAACCAAAATAATTCATTTCAGTGTGGTGTTCTAGTGACACCTTCCCTCCTCATACCTTGTAACCCTGTGATCTGGACATTCACCATGAGTAAGGGAGACCCAGGTGTAAATCCCTTCCCTGCTTAACTCAGAGCAAGAATCTGACTCGGCGTCTTCCACTTCCTAGAAAATATCCTCACTGCAGGGCGACAAGAGCTTTTCTCTCTTAAGCTCTTCTGTTGGTGCTGTTTCACGCTATATAAAGCACAGGACAGACTAGGACACGTCTGCTCCAGAATACACCATAGCTTGTTGGGTAGACTGCTGTTCTGAGAGACAGATATCTTGTTTAAACCCCTGCTCTGAATCAGGCAGAAAGGAGATTTCAACCTAGATGAGCGTCATAAAGGGACAGATAGAGAGGAGAAGGAGAGAGCAGCACCCGCACCCATCTTCTCACCAATTCGGAGAATCTAACCCCAGAATCAAAATGCTTAAGATTAACATTTGTAACCTGTTTTATCTGCCCAAAACAGTTATTGAATTTAACTTGAATTCACATATAGTTTCAGGTGAATGGCAATTACATTATTGGCAAATAAACTATGCATCAATAAGAATAAAAACAACCTGCAGAGCCCTCAATGTAATAACATACCAGAATAAGGCCTTTATCGTTCTGATCAGAGCTTCTCACCCTCCAGGTCTGATTCTGATCTCACATAGCTGTCAGGCATAACTACTCAAGGCAATGGAATTACACCAATGTAAGTCCAATGCACAGATTTCTACATCAGTTTAACTGTTTCAGTCATGGGAATGATTGTATAGCGTAAGCGGATTAACACATCCTTTCTGGATGGCGAGGTAAAACAAGTTGGATTCGTCAGTGCTGATGTGAAAAACGTGCATCCTGCCTTCCTTCCCTATGCAAAAAATAAATAAATATTTCCTCAAGCCTTAAGACATTCCCTTTTTTAAACCTGCTTTTCAGGGACTTGGTAACTCCTCATTTTCTATCAAATAATCTTTCTTTATATAATTACCCCCCCTAACTAACCTCCATACTCCAAGATAGGCATCCTTCAGTGAGCTCTTGTTAACTCCTTCAGTGCTGTTTACTTCTCCTTGAACAGTGGGCACCTTTGCTGGCTCCACTGTGTTGTCCTGTTGCTCCTCTATACTCTCACTGTCCCTTTCTGCTTGTTCCTCTACTGCTGTCTCCTCTGTTCCCTTCTCCTGGGAGATCTCCTCCATTGCAAATGGTGGTTGACCTCCAGTATGTCCTTTCTCTTCTTCCTCTCTTGCTTCTTTTTCCAGGTCCTCATAATTGCTCTGCTTTCTGGTCTCAATGTACTTGACCACACAGTAAATGACAGAGCCCAAGGTGTTGACCACAACACCTGCTATAAACAGCTTTGTGGGCTCCACATCATCGAAGGCCACCATGCCCACTGTTATGGTTGCTATGCTCTTTACCACCCCGACGAAGCTTGTGGTCACAGCCGAGTTAATGTAGGTGCAGTGAAGGGTGGTAAAGTTCATGGCACAGCCAATCAAGACACAAGCGATAAAGATGCATGTCATGGCTGGGTCCTTCCAGCCAGGGAATGACCAGACGTTGATGGCATCCATACTGGCAAAGGAGCAGATGATGAGCAAAGGAGTGGCTGAAACGGCAATGACATACTGGGCTGTCAGGGGTCCATAGTCACTATCTGCACTGGTCTTTTGGATGAGCACCAAATAGGCAGCATGAACCACCACAGCCAGCACTCCTGTCACATACCCCATGAGATCACCACTCAGGTCACCCGCTCCTGCCAGGAGAGAGAGAAAGACAAAGGAAGATGCATTTACAAGTCAGCCGGTGGATGGGAGTGAGAGAGAAGCATTAGTTACGACGTTACAAGAGCAAAGGAGGCACCATCCATTTAAAAGAGTGTCACTCAGTCCTATGACTTGTGACTGGCCTCCCAAGTTCTGCTCTCCTGGAAAAAGACACCAGAGGTGCGTCCAAATAAGCATGGACATTTGGCTCCCCAGGAACAAGTAGCAGTAACACACCATATGCTGCTGTTACTTGTCTCTGGGGAACGCCCATGCCACATGCGCTTTGACATGCGGCAGGTTACCCTGGGTTGGGTAGAGGAAGCTGGGGCCAGCAACTGTGCTGGCCCCAGCAGCCTTACCTGGGGTCCTGGGGGTGTCCCAGGGCTGCACCCCATGGCAGGAAGCCTGGCCAGCAGCTGGTGTGTGGCCCTGGCTGGCAAGGCTCTGATTTTGAGCAGCATGCACTGCCGCGGTGTGCATGACCCTGCTTTTTTTTCAGTGTGGGCTTTTTGACCCTGGGATTTCCTGGGGTCAACATCCCCCTCCACGCCCCCCAGCAAAGTAGCAGTGCAGGTAATGCCTGCATGTGCAGCGTGTGGTGCTGCAGATAGGCCTGCAGCATCACACACCACACATCCACGTTTCTCTGGAGATGGCACAGGAGTGGTTTTGATCACAGACAAAATCTACCTGTCTACCTCATTTCAAAGCCACACCTTTAACTTCTTATTCTCCTAAGCCAACCCAGGCAAGGGGGGGAGAGGGGGGCGCTCTCTCTCAAACGAGTTATCTTCACCTGTGGAAGAAACTGCCGGGCTCCCCGTGCCCCCAAACACACAGACACACGAGAAAGTAGGGGGACTTTCGGCTCCCCGTGTGCTCCTTCCGGGTTAAACCCGGGGTTTGGTCCCAGGGCACAACGGAGCACGTGCTTGTCCCCTTCTGGTCCCGAGGCTCCTGCCCGAGCCCGGGGAGGCAGCTCCCGGGGAGCGGGGCCGGAGGAGACGGGCTGGGAGGGCGATCGCTGGGCTGGGCGAGCAGGAGGGTCCCGGGGGCGCCGGGACGGGACGGGGCAGTGGAGCGGGAGCGGGGGGATCCCGGGGAGAGGCAGGGCACAGAGCCGGGCTCGGGCCGGGGGCAGCGGGGCCGGGCAGGGTTGGGATCCCGGGAGGCGGCGGAGCGCTGGGGGCTGCGATCCGGGGGAGGGAGCGAGCACAGAGCAGGGCTGGGATCCCGGGGATCCGGCGGGGCACAGAGCGGGGCAAGGATCCCGCGAGGCAAGGATCTGGGAGTGCAGCAGGACGGGGCAGTGCGGGGCTGGGATCCGGGATCAGGCAGGGTAATGCGGGGCTGGGATCTGGGGGAACTGGAGGGGCAGTGCGGGGCTGGGATCCGGGATCGGACGGGGCAATGCAGGGGTCGCTCACCTGCCAGCGCGGCGCCGCAGGTGGTGACGAGCACGGCGGCCAGGACGCCGGGCGAGGGGGCGCCGTTGTGGAGCACCAGGACGCCGAGCAGGAGCGTGGCCAGGGGCAGGCAGCGCTTGAAGACCACGTACATGGGCAGGCTGAGGCCGCGCAGCGCCCAGAGCGTGAGGCTGGACTGCAGCGTGGCCAGCGCCGCCAGCCCGGCGAAGGGGCGCGCCAGCCCCGGGCCGAAGGGGGGCAGCGCCACG